TTTTGTCATAAAAGAGAAATGTATAATTGTGACCCATACAATGTATTGTTGGCTATTGCTACAAATATCCCCCAGCGACTTAACACTGCTTTTGTGCTGCAGGGACACAGATAAAAACACACTTTTATTTATTACTTCTGACTTTTGATCAGCTAATATCATGTATATTTTATTTTTTTTAAATGTGTCAATATTACTTAAATGTATTGTCTTTAATTACATTTAGAATATTTTGAGGGGAATATTATGCCATAAAGACTTGCTTTTATTTAGTCCTATGTCAATGCGTGTTTCATTTCATTTTAACTTTACATCAAGTCAGTGTTAAAAGTAACATGTTTGCATGTTCATATTAACATTATATTCATTTAAAAAGTTTAATAATGTTTTCAAATAACAAGTACATGCATGTACATGCAATTAAAAAAAACAATACAATGTATAAAGTAAACAAACTTTAAAGTGCAAAAAAAAAAATCAAGAAAGCAAGTTAATTTATATAGTTTATATATATATTTATATTTAATTTGATATGTTTTATATTTAAAATAATCATAAAAGATGCATAAAAACAACAGAAGCAAAGAATTAAAAAATGATGAGAACAATTTCAACTAATATCTTTTCTGGTCTGGCATTATTTAGTCCAGATTAAAATGCAAAAATGTGTAAATGTAAACAAAAATCTTCTAGTCTAGAAAAAATCTACAAGTCTTCAAGTATTTGTCCGGCTGTATATATGTAAATGCTATTTGTCTTTTTAATAGCTTACATCACAGTTATTAGTTTCCTTATATCAGCCTGTTGTCATTCGTGTAGATCAGAGATGTTGTTATTGTGATTCTCGCTAATGAAATATAAAGGATGCTTCAGCTTGAAGAGAAGATGGCTCGAATGCTGCAGAAATCCTCCCTTGAAACCAATAAGACTAAAGTACAAGCAGAAGCACGCGAGGAGGGATGCCAGCGCTGCGCTGCGACGCAGGACAAGCTCTCGAATGTTTGCAGATGTTGGCATGGGCTTTCCAGCTCTCTCTTTCTCGTGCTGTAAATAGTCTGTTGTAGGCGAACTCTGAGCGTTTGATCTCCGGCGAACAAAAGAGAAACGCTCACACGCTCAGTTTTGATTTCTTCGGAGGACCGTCACCTCGTTTGATGTGAGGAAACATTACGAGGCTTGATGAGCGCTCTCAGTGAGATCAGACTCATTACATTCATGACGATAATTACTCTTAAATGTGTCATGTCTGTACTGTGTGAAGCTGATGTGAATGTAGGCCGCTCGCTCATCTTTAGCAGTTTCAAAACTTCCTGATCACATCTGATGAGTTTAAGTCAAAATTCTGAATTCTACGTAGTACAGATCTCTTCAAGGGTGAGAAAAACACTAAAACTGAGTTTTAATGTCACTTTACGCAATCCTTGCATACTACTTACTGAATATTGCACACTAAGATTGCATACTGCTATTTTCTAAAAAATAACACCATTTTTATTCTGCATTTAAAATGTTTGTGTTTTGTATGGACCAGTTCTAGCCTAGGGTGAGAAAAACAAATTGGGTTTTAATGTCACTTTAGGTTACTTTGTTCCAAACACAATCCTATACACCCTTTCAAGGGTGAGAAAAACTCTAAAACCGGGTTTTAATGTCACTTAATAATGCAATCCTTGCATACTACTTACTGAATACTGTACACTAAGTATGCATACTGCTATTTTCTAAAAATAACATGTAGAACACTACATGACCTCAATATGAGAATAGCATCCAGTCATCATTATTGAAATATGTTTGTTTTTATTTTGCATTTAACATTTTTGTACTTCATATGGGTCAGTTCTAGGGCGAGAAAACAATGTTGGGGTTTTAATGTCACTTTAGGTTACTTTGTTCCGAACACAATCCTATGCACACTCTCAGAGCCCAGACAGCGCTCCGGCTCACCTGAGAAAGCACAGCATTAGCACTGATGTCACAATAAAGAATACAAATAAAAAATGCATTGCAAAAATGTCTCAGAAACGTATCACCCGTGATCTAATGAATGACTCAATATCGAATTCAGTCTAATGTGAAAGTTTTAAAAAGAATTTAAAAATGTAATGAAAAATGCATCACAAAAAAAAGTGTATTTTTATCAACATATATAATCATTTATTAATTTGGAAATAATATTTTGTAATCCTTGCTCAATATCTAATTATGTCTAATGTGAAAGCATTGATTTTTACAATAAATAACAAATTTGCAATGCAAAAAAAATAAAAAGGCTTGGAAATTGATAACACTTGATCTAATTAATGACATACATAAGAGTTTCCAGAGTACTTATCAATTTATATTTTCATTTATTAATTTGGAAATATTATGCTATTACCTCTGCTCTAATTCGGTCTAATGTGAAAGTAAAAAAAAAATAGCAAAAATAGCTTGGAAATGGATTCTAATGAACAGCATTCACACATTTATGTCATTATTGATTTTATTTTATTTTTTAACTTTTTGCACATAGTACAGACCCATTCAAAGGTGAGAAAAACATCGTTTTTAAACAGGGTTTTAATGTCACTTTAGGTCACTAATCCTAGCATACTGCTGAATACTGCATACTAAGTATGCCTCATATAATGTGATCCCACCACAACATAAAAAAGACTTGCAGGAATTTAATATAAGCTGACAAACAGTTCTAACCCTAGATGTCAACCAAAATTGTTAAGATTAAGATCTTGTGAAGAGAGAGAGAAAAAAACGGAATAGATAAAAAAAACAAGCATGACAAGTGTGAAGTTCTCTGAGAACACAAGTGCACATGTGCAACAGTTTTTAAGCAAACAAGTGAAAATTAAAATTCATGTCATAAATGCAATGAATGCAAAGGCTTTTAAAACGATTCCTGTAGCATTATACATTAATCCTCATGCACACACACACACACACACACACACACACACAGATGTGTGTTTAATGTTTGAATTTTTATTTGGCCTAATCGCTTAAATCTTGTAAAAAGTCACAAATGTGCAACATGAACTTGATTAAACCGAGAACAGGCTGTGATTTACATCAGCTGGCTTTTATACATTTATAAATACACTTGAATGGACTGGCAGCCGCAGACTCACGGCATTATAATTTTCCCAAATGGGAATTGGGGTGTGCAGTATTTTTGGGTGAAGAGCGCATGAGAAAATGAAGGCCTGAAAACCGTTAGGACGGCAGATAGTTTTATTTAGACTGCGAGTGAACTACTTTGTTTCAGAGTTCACTTGGCCTGACGTGACGTGTTGTTTTAATACGCGTTCCCTGTGAAAGCTATTTTATCTTTTTTGTATTCATCAAGAAACATATGACTGCGCATATCTGTGGGCGAAGCGGAATCGAGAGCGAACGCTTTCACATCGTGAAACTGGACATTATTTGTCATGCTGGCCTAATTACTGGAGAAATCCTGAACTAGTAATATGGCATTTAATCATCAATGTACTTTTGCTATGAATCATCGTTTAATTTGGTCTATTTTTTATGATCAGATCATTGCTGCACTGTCCACAACCTCTATACAGGTTTAAAATGCTCATTTTTATTAGCAGTATTTTTTGTTTTCCATAAACAGCAGTAAATGCAACACAAATACATCACAAAAATGCTACAGAATCAGCTTTTTCAGAGTTTTTGTGACGCAACTGTATTCATAAACATTAAAAACGGTAAATTTATGGATTACTCATGACATATTTCTGATTTGTGTACCATTCTGGTTTTGTTGCACCACTAAGACTGTTGCTTTTTATCATTAATATTTTCCATCTCATCTAAGTTGCTTTATATGTCTGCTAAATGACGAAAATGTAAATATAAACTACCAAATTAATGCAAATCAAATATTTGTTGGCACTTGTGTAAAAGTATTAAGAGCTGAACTTTTAAGTGCACTCCATTGTACAAATAACACTGTAGCAGTGATCTGATACTGAAAATATTGAATAAATGCCAATGTTTACAATCTCTAAACAGATTTAAAATGATCATTTTTATTAGCAGTACTTTTGCAACAAAAATGCATCACAGAATCACTGCAGAATCAATGTTTTTGTGATGCAACGGTGTTCATAGGCTTTCACGAAGGTAAAAATCCATGAAATATTGCTGATTTGTACCATTTTGGTTTTGTTGTACCACTAATATTGTTGCTTTTTTTATCATAATCATCCTTCATTTGTAACTTAAGTTTATTTGCATGTGTGCTAAATGAACAAATGTAAACCTAAAAGACACGATTAATGTAAATTAAATAAGTGTTGGCACTCAAATGAAAGCTGATCTTTTAAGTGCACTCGAGTTTAAAAATAAGAGTGGTATTAAAGTAGCGTGCAGAGGATGGAGTTGTGGGCGAACTTTCATCATTCTGAAGCTGAACTCTGAGTTTATTAGCGTCTCTAATCAGTTGGTACAGCAGGGCAGGAAGCTACAGTTTCAGTTCGACTGTAATGGAACAAACAATGCAGTGCTGACGCATGCAGGAGTGTGTGTGTGTGTGTGTGTGTGTGTGGACCCACTGCTGTTCACGTATGAGTAATACACCTCTGCTTAATGTATATGTCAAACACGTGCTGTTCCCACCGGTTCACTGCAGATGCACACACACACACACACAGCATATAATGACCAGGGTCTTTCCAGTTATGACTGTGCAAAACAGGGGCGATCAAACTCATCAGCACAGAAGAGTGTTAAAGTCTTCATTTCACACGGAGAAACTAATTTATATGAGTGCTATCTATCTATCTATCTATCTATCTATCTATCTATCTATCTATCTACACCACCAGTTAAAGGTCTGAAAGGTCTGTTTCTCATGATCTTAAAACTTTATTTTAATCTTCTGATTAAATTAGTGTAGTAGATATGTTGTGTGTAT